TAAAACGAGAACATAATAAAACTAATAAAAGTCAATACATTGTAKACAACCTGAGCTTCAATTCCCCATGATGTCATCTTTGGCGGCTTTCTCAGATACTACTGAACGATAGTCCCTGTTGATAGGTCAGGTGTGCCTGCTGTTGGGTCATTTACGTCATTTCGTGTTTTCAAAACCTTGCACTTAATGTACCCTATAGGTTGCTTTTCGTTAGTCAAAACTGACCAGTTATTGCTGACATAGGGCTTTCAGTTTGTCGAGAATTTCCCCCCTTCTTCGTTAGACTAATTGCAAATGCACACTGGTAGTGACTACAGAGTTCACTTCAAGGAATAACGGGACTTCTGKAGAGAGCAGAAGACATCCACGATTTCAAATTGACTCCAGCGCAAGAGAAGCGATTACGTGTACTCATGTGTACTAGCACGTACGWGATCTCACTCTATGCCGCATATAAAGTTATTTCATTAAGCAGCAGCATGGGTTAGACATTTGATAAAATAACGTCTATACTATCGTAGTCATGCATTACGRACAATCAAGTTATGACGAAACSAACACTGACCCATGAAAGCCCATTTCTATACCCAACAAGAATATTTKCTCGTACTAGTTCTGTTTCTTGGTTCCAGCGCACTATTTTTGTGAGTCACAACATCAGTAAGCTAAATTCACTTGCTATTTTGCTTGACTGACCCTGTTAGWCCGTGAAAAGGAAAGTTTGTATTTACTGACCCTGTTAGTCCGTGAAAAGGAAAGTTTGTACTAGATGATAGAGTGGTTTCACACTTTAGCGTATTTATCGCTATTACACTTTGGCTCTTTTGTTTTTTGTCTCTACGCGACTATTACGATCTATTACACTCTAATTATTACACTTTGTTTCACGGGTTTATGAAAACCACTCTAATACATATCCTAAATATTTCCTTTTCACGGTTGAAATAAATGCACTAGTTTGGAGTAAAGCTAGCGGTCGACCTCATTCCTGAAACACATGGAGCAGTTCTTATCGCAACATGACAAAACATATACAATGAGCTTTATTTACTGCAGAATAATTAGATATATTTACAGTCGTACAATATCTATCCCCACAGTAGAAACTATCTACATATTTGTATTAAAAACGTATCATTTTAAAATCATGATTTCGTGCTGTTTATATTTTACACCTAAAGACACTGCTAGCTTGCTGAGCTTAATCAGCGTTTATRTCTCTGGTTCATTGTGTGAATTATTCGTCTACTTATCAATTAACTGTTATCCGCTGTGATGCTACAGCTGGATATTATCAATTTATGAACTACGTTTATTGCTTCGTTGTTCTTCGCCTTTCTTGGCGCGTTTCTGTGCAGTTTCACACGGTGTTTTTGAACTGATTTCTTAATCCACTTAGTTGTGCTTTCGTCTTGATATACTAATTAACTTTCTCTATAACAATCTTGCTGCAACTGCTAGTAAASCAACAATGTGTAGAGCTGCTGACTTTAATCTTGAACCACCACCGACGGCTTTTACTTTTACTGTGGAACCTTTGGTACTGGATCCCTTGGTACCTTTACTTGTCCCACCACCTCGTTTGGGCGTGGTTTTATCGTCGTCCCTCTTAAGTGTTGGAACAGTAAGAATRGGRTTTATGGCCTTTGGTCTCGGATACCGTGTAGACGGTTTCGATGTTGGTTCTGGGGTAGGTGGTACAAAGTTTATAGACTTAAACGTCGAGCATTGCACCATTGGTATCTGGTAAGACGTCGGTCGTAATTGTGGCGAAACAGGGCTCGATCCATCACTAAAACGCTGACCTAAGTAAAGTTGTAGCACTTTGTTCTCATTTTCTTCCATTTTTAACAAATCGTACTCGGTGTGTGGAAGGTTAATGCCGTAAATCCGACATCCCTTGGACTTGGTAATATCCGCCGCAACACCTGTTTGCCATTCTCCATCTTTACCACATTCGTTGTTCCTGGACATGGAGTTCAGTTGCCTAGTTCTACTTTTCTTGTAAGGAGTAATAGAGGCCTCATTYACGGTGAAAACAAAGTTCTCTCCGTCTCTGAGCTTGGTCGATCTTACCCCCCCTGTGAAGAAGCCTTTGGCGTGCACCATAAAGTCAATTTTCTTACAGTAAGGATCGCTATAATAGTGAAAATATCCTTCAAACGATTGTTTCTTGTTGTTGAAAACCATATAACGAGTGAGAAAGCTTCCTGGGCGTGTCTCACACGTGGTGCTTCCCCATTCTTCATCCAACATGACGCTACGAGGACGTTGCTTGAAGAAAATATGAGGCTTAGATCGGGTCGATCTTTTGACTTGACTACAAAATGTACAGTTTGGAGCGTTAGACCTTTTAAGTGGTAGTTGATATGATTTTGGTATATATCTTCCTCGACCAGTYCTGGACCACCGTTTACCGAAAGGACTCGGGACTTCTGCAAAGTACAACAGATCATGCTTGTTGCTTTTGCCTTTRAACTTGTCGAGTTTTACAATAGCAAGCTCAAACTTTGCCAGCCCAAACTTCTTGCGACAAGCACGTCGACCAAAGGCTTTGATGTCAGTGACATTGTAAATGTTAAGTCTATCACTGTTAGTGATATTACGTAAAGCTTTTTGACAAGACTTTCTCGTTGCTCGTAAAAGTTCTCTTTCAACTTGTGGGGTGTGAGGGTAAAGATGGACGAATGTGAAATTGAAATTGGTGCTCGTCGATCCCTTTAAGTGAGACGATTCTTTGCCCATTTTGAGATAACCTTTGATGTAGATTGTAAAGCTTGGTTTGCTACAATGAACGTCTGAATAATGATGGAATCGGCCGACCCACGAYGAGTTTGGGAACACTCGAATATAACGAGTCAAAAACTTGGGTCCTGGACGAACTTCACACCTGAAAAGAGAAATGCATTAAAGCGAATGTCATCAAAGAAATCGTTGAAGGATGCACTTAATACATGTTGAAATAGAAAGGGAAAGGCCGAACAAAAAAAAAAAAAGAAAAAAAGAAAATGCACTTTGATCTAAAAACATCCACCCGGAACAGACCCGAGATCGTCCGCCCACGGCAATTTGTAAACCAATAGCTAAACTGCAAATATATGTGGTCAGAACTGACCTAGAAATAGCAATACCAAGCATTTTTGTGAGCCAGTTGAGATGTTTTTCTAGTAAAGTGAGTTTTTGTTTACAGAAGAGGTACTTGACATGTCTCTGAGTGCTGGTCTCTTTTTTTTGACTTTATAGCTATCAAATTCAACTTGTAGACAACATCCTTAAAACCGCACGTTTTACATAGAAAGAATTACTTTAATTGTGAGACATTGATTGTTGGAGTTAACAGAAATAATACAGGAACACTAACCGCACGCGAACTTTCACTTTTAAACTTAGAGCACTTAATAAATAAAACACTTGAAAGGATTATTTCAACTCMATGATTTCCTTGTCAAAATATTGAAAAGAATTCCAATTTACATTCCTATGATAATCGAAATGAGTCCCTCCACGTCTTTRATCTCCTTCAAATATCAGCAATTAAATCTCATTCTTACAATTGAAACTTAAACTTTACGATTTAATTAATCCTATTAACTTTATTAATCTTTTCTTGGTTGAAGTGACCTAGTGAATCAYGGGTAATCCAATTTTTGATAAATTGCATCACGGGTAATGTTGCTTATTGGAAGCAGTTTGCAGAGATTTAAGGTCAAAAGTGTGATTCATTAATCTAGTTAAGCAATTTCACAGTTGAGCATATCTTGTAAGTTTAAGGGCGATATCATTCGTTTTGGTATCCGTTTTCTGTTGACCTTAGTTGGGAGTCTATCTTTTACGTAAAAGCATGGCCTTGTTCAAGTACCTAGTCAARAAGTTGTTCTTTGCCAGCGTCCGACAATCTATGCATTACAAAGGAACGTATCAAAAACCGAGAAAGAAAATCCAACACGACCTCTGGCCTTAGATCATCTTCAATTAGCTTCTAAAAACACAGTAAACACACAAAAGCCGCAAACCGATAGATTRAGGTGTCTAGGCGGTTAAAAATAGAATTTCATTTCATTAAACTATCGCTTGTGCCTGCGTTTCTTTAGCGTGACTTTSAGTRGTGTTATCTCTCGCCTGTGTGCTGCGATAACATCAAATAAGTCGGCAGTATAACGGCTTACCATGTAGTCATCAATCTGCCTGTGGCTCATATAAGAATCTATTCCTTACTAAAAGACTTTACCTATCAATATCTTTATAATCTGTTTAGCTATAATCTCTATTGATGTTGGCGATAGACTTTTGGCAATAAAACAGAATAATAAAATAAGAAGAGTCCAATACAATGACCCTTTTATTGACCGAGACTTGCACAGTCTTCTGGCTCTTTCGATATATATTGAGTAAAATAGAAACCAGAGATATCGTATTTGTCTTTACGATAAGAATTGTTGTSCTTGGGTGTTAGTTTGGGTAAAACATATGGAATGTCAGCGAGTGTTTTTCGTCATATCGTTGTCTTAATTGSCAGTGTCATACCAAACGCAAATATCGGTTTTAAACCAAAATTTCCTGATTAACTTTTCATGGGAAACAAAAGCTGTAASTCAACTATTAATGTGGGTGGATACTGCATTCTTGGTGGATWTCTTGAATGATTCCATTTTTTTTCAACCACGCCTGTCTTTCCTTCCTTCACTTAACGCATTTAACGTTTCTTTTTGTATTTTCCTTCCTTAAAAGTACATTTWTGTACAATTCTTTGACCAACAAACTATCGATTTGACAATCATATTTCCGTTCTTTATGCATAATTTCAAATCTTTAGACAATTCTTTAGATTATTTGTGCTTTCATTAAATTTTCTTTTCGTTTTTAAGAATATCTGAAAACGTCCCTTGTATTTCTTTCATCGATATTATTTCATTAATCAAAAAGCATTAAAAAAGTGCGGCTTTGCCTTCCTTCCTCTTTGAATAGATTTTAATAATCAAATCTTGACGTTTCATTTTTTTTTCTTTGTCGAAATAGGACCCAATACCGAATTCCTAATCCACTTTAACCATGTTTTTATTCTCGAAAGTTTTCCCATTTCCCATTTTTCGTTATTTTGTTTCAATAGTTTCACAATTCGACGAAAAAAACAAAACAAAAAAAACAAAACACGATCCTAGCTCTCAGCCGCAGGCCTCCCTCCTCACGTTACCATTGTGATTGTTCGAGTACCGTACGTACCGTGTTTAGAAAAGATTGATATCATGATACCTGCTTTAGTCCTTATGGTTGTTATTTTACTCTGTTACGTGATCTCGCGGCAAATTAAAGATTGACACACCGACAAAATGGTCGTTCTTGCTTCGCTAGACATCCAATATGTTTATTCAACCCCAAACAATTACTATGTGTCTCCTCTTGTCTTACGATAAACTTATTAAAATGCGCCTTCATATCCGTGAAAGAATTATTGATACTTCGGCAGTGGGATTTATTGTTATCTACAAAGAACCGAGAACAACCAAACAGTCTTATTGAACAGCAGGGGAGGTATCGCCTCAACAAGACTCTTATTGCCCAAGTTTTAATTGCAATGGAGCACAGCTCCAACTGATGGCTATCAGACAGACATTTGTAAAAACCGCGGACAGTGTTTTAGTAACAAAGGAAATCCCAGTTACGGTTAATTTGACTTTGGGATTTCTACGATTTTATCTCGATTTCTTTTTTGTTTGTAAGTGAATTAYGATCAATTGAATTGACTTGTTTTTTGCACTTTATAAATCTGAAACATTATCTCGTAGCTATATATCAACACGAATCCTTGGAATTCCGAGGTCTTCGGCTATCATTCATCGTTCTTAAATTCCTTGTGTATCCTCGATAACGCAAGTGAAAAATTTCTCTTCAAGGAACACATTTAACCAATTAATTACTTCTTTGGCCCTATTAATTAATTGAACTCTAGCATTAATGAATAAGACCTATTACAAGAGAGCTACATTTAGCGTCACACTGAGACTAGCGAGTTTACCAATTACCTTTAAACGGTACTGACAGAGTCCTAGTTGATGAATGATCCAACASCCGACAATTCATATTATTGCAGTGCGTATTATGTCAAAAGACTTCGTATCCCAAAGAAGGTCAAAGAATTCTATTAAAGGTTTTATGGTTATTGTAAATTTATTATTCTTGTTCATCAGGGGGTCGATATGAGCTGGACAAAACCGTGCATGGAAGCACGTTAATAGCCCTCTTGTATGTGGTTTTGCAGTGATACTTGTTTAAGATCACATTTCTAGCTTGTATCATTATTCGAGTCGATGCTTAAAATATGAGGGTCTTTGATGTTGATTCTTTCTTCATTACTGAACCTATCAAGATATGCCGCGCGCGTAACATAAGTACTAACTTACTGTGGTGATGTCCACTCTCCTTGAATGTTAGGACGAATGCGCGACTGGATGCCCATAGTGTGAGTAATATATCTCACAATTTCACGGCAGTTTCCCTCCACTGGCTCGCTCCACAGCAGAACTAAGCGGAGAAAATTCAATAATGTTACGGTTAAAAGAGCTTTGCGAGCGAGATTCTTATCAAGATTATGAGAGCACGAAAAGTGGATAAAACACGATTCACCCATGTCACAAAAAACATTCGACATGTCAATGGAACTAAGCTTGAACTAACCTAATGAAATCCAAATGTACAGACAAACCGAGGTGACTCCAAAGCCTCCCATCRTCCTTGTAGTGAACAGTGATTTGTAGCTCGTCTACGATACCAGTGTCGCGTCGCAGGCGATTCTGAAGAACCARCTGAATTACATGCGATTATAACTGGCTTGAAGAGGCAGTTGTCTATCAAAAGACGCCAAGGTACTTGAAAGAAACAGCTCTGTGATGTAGTGGGTATGACGATGTATATTGGCCCAGTGACTTGTAAGTCTGTTAATTATCTCTCAGTGTGATATGCTTTGTGTCACAACTAGTTAGGCTGTATCCGTTTAATGTCTGTCGATGTGCGCCAATGGGTCAGTCTATTGTTGCGAGTTCCTGTGCTTGGSAGTAATGATGACAATTTCACCGAATCCAACAAACCACAACGAATCAATTCAAACAGTTCAATGATGGACTGGATTCGTTTCTTTTACCTAAAAAACACATAAATAAAAACAAACCTGCGTTACATGTGTCACTGTTGATGTAAATAAGCTGCAAATAAGMTTTTCTACCATCGATTGGGCGATGGATTTGAATGCAAACTGCAATTTATGAGCTGCTAAAATCGCATTAGCGACACCTCGTTAAACACTTACAACAATTMCGAACAAAGAAGTGTAAATGGGTTGAGTACCGGAGAGGTGGAAAATAAATATTGCCAAACAAAACGCTCAATAAGAACTGCATAATTCAGATACATTCAGTCAGTCAACAAGGTGCATGACCTGCAGCTAGCCTTTCACACCGACCAAATTGAGCCTCTAAAAGACGACCAATTTATTTGTAATTACATGAAAAGATCAAGAAAAGCAAGAAGCGAATATGGATTAAGTTTTTGAGCAAGAATGCCACGAATTTGCAAGGTAAAAATAGACAATAAWRAGTTATTTTGAGTCTCGCGTCGTTGTAGGTCAGCTCATCTACTATCTTTGTCAAAATGGTTTACATACGGTGGAGCGTCAAGGAGTTCATGAAATRGATTCCTTGCTAACTCCACTCTAGTTTGTCAAAAAAAGAGACCACTCGTCAGCGATCCTTAGAAGTGTTTCTTTTCGGTATGATAACTATCTTCAACTCATATTCTTTAAATATTTTCTTTCTAGGTTSACACACAAAAAGACAAGTACCTGAAGATTGTAACTTYGATAGCTGGACAAAAGTCGGAAATACAGATCACAGTCTACCAAGCTTAAAAAACCTGAAATGCCAGATGCAGTGAGAACTTAGAATACTTGGAAACCTTCACGTTTCCTTTTTAMAAGAAAATTGGATTTAAGACTTTTGAAATTCCTACAGAATCAAGTAGTTTGGAGTGGAAAYGCAATATACATCAACAATCCTGAAGTGGCATCAACGTCAATGTCATTGATCTAAAGTGGATAAATCCTTACCAAATATTTCTACAYACGGTTCAGAAATTCTTCCCAATTGCCCTCCACTAACATCTGAGATGCACTGTAACACATGCTATCTCTACCGTCATTTTATGCTTATTTTGGCTGATAACCGGAGATTCCACTAGTCTTACTCAATGGGTGCTTACCAGTGAAAGTACTCTACAATCTGGTTAATCTCAATAAATGTTTGGCAACCAACTTCAAAGTTATCTAGTTTAATGGCAGGATTAGGCAAATTCTTGGTCTTGTAATTACTGTGAGGTTGTATGAAAAAGGCAATTACAGCAATACTTAGACTGGGCCTTTAACCTTAACATAAACATTCTGCACACCATTTTACCAGGTGCGCCACTTGAGAAGTACCCGCAAAACAATTTCCTCGAAGATGGATTTCATTAGTCCAATTCCGGTAAGCAATAAAAAAAGACTCGTTTAGATAAGACTCAGTCTTTCAAAATAAAAATATCAATAAAACGCGACAAATTTTTATTATCTTATCGTGTAAATGATTATTGCCGGAGAACTCGGGGGGAAGTTCGCCAATGAAGCGTCTACTTGGAGCAATGGCCAATCTAATTCTTACTATGCTTAATAAAATGACATGATCTGATACGGTTTTTTTTTCAGAAGAGTAGTTCAAGTTTGTCTGGAAAGTATCAAAAAAATGAAGGACTGGTCTTTATTCGTAGGTGTGGCTTCGTTTAATGTTATTTGACAGAAGATAATCCGAAAATTGATGTTTCCTATCATCTAAGATATATTATACATTGTAGAACTTTACACAAACCATCTCTAAATGATCAGTACCATATCGATAATATTATTATTAGAGTAACACGGCAGTTTTTCTTGTATCATCTTTAAGTTTAATCATATCTTTCGATGACAAAGAGTTTGACTAAGAGTTTTTCTTGCCCAAATATAGATTAGCTTTAGTGCACTTGAAACATGCACATGTTTACTCCACGAACAAAATGCTGCATTTCCTGACGATTACGTCAGTCCATTAAATGCCATAGGGCTGATTTTTGTTCTAGTTCCCACAAAAGATTTTCAAGATTACCGAAGCTATTTTAAAATAAAGATTTTGCTTAAATCCGCGAATACATTCTCGTCGTTAATTAGGATTATGAGCTCATAAGTACTGGAGTATTTCCATGATTTTTACAACATCAATCATTAGTGACTGTCGTAGTCTTTGCCTCTGTTATTTATTGCTTCATCACTGAATCAACAGCATTAAAACCTACATGTATCTGATACTATGAAAACTTACTTTATAAAATATACGATTGATGTTTAGCCTGCATGACGTGCAGTCATCAAATAATCATCRAATAGGTCTTTCATGACAGCGATTTCTAGGATTCATTTCTTAAATTCCACTTTCATTTCATCATATTAAATATTCTATCGTTTTAGAACGTGTTCTTTTTAGCAATATTACTAAGAACACTACACTGCTTTGCTAATAACTTCTCTCTATCCTGTACACGTGCGTAACAGTGTTTTCCGACGTTAKTTTCTCGATGATGTAACATCACTGGGAAATCATTCAAGCAAAGCGTTTCACAGAGGAAAATACCTTGTAGATATAAGAAAATTGTGCTCYTTAAGACCACCACTATTAGTACATCTAGTCGTGACGTAATAAAAGACTTACCGAGAACGCTAGTCAAAAGACATGTTATCTTACGAGAGAGTCGATCAAATCAAGGTCATGGCACCATTTCTTGTACCATAGATGGAAGGCATGGAAACACGAGCCTTGTCTTACACTTGGACGTGCTGTGGCTCAATTTAAAACACTATTCAAAGAATATTTACTGCTGAGAAGCACGTCAAGTCTTGCTTTGCGCGATAGAGAGCGATGTTTACACTGGAAGTGATGGCACATTTGTGATTTATTACGTACTGGTATTTGATATACAATAGATTTTTCGGTAAGGAGTTTCGACACCAAAGTTAAGCTCTTTCAGCCAAACTACCACATGTTTTTCAAAAGTACYATTTGATTAAACTTTWGAAAACGTAGTTTGAAATCACAGCAAGAACGCTAACCTATAACAAGCGTTATGCAAGAAAACGTTCGTATATCAGCAAGGTAGTATCGCGTTCAGCGGGTTAAAAAACGGTTCTCAACAAATGGAAAAGAAATCAGTAAAGTTCAGTAGATGTACCGAGTCATTATTAGTGATCAAATGTCGGCTTTAGGCCAAATGATCAAGATATTATCTGACGCCTGGTACATCAATGTTCTTGAAGCGTTTAGCGTAATTCCATTCACATGTAAAAGGGGTTATTTTGCACATCAAGAGTGTCTGGCGGATGTCACATCAAAAAGACAAACTAATGTTTACAACAGATGAGGTAGTTTAGGTTTGTTATGGGCTCGCGCCAATCGAAAGAAAACCATCCTTCGCGGATGGTCCGGTTTTCTTTGTTTCCGTTGGTTACCATTAAGTAGTACAACGCCCACATAGTCACCAAGAAGATCRCAATAATCGATGCAATAYGGGGAGGAAGCACACCATCTAYGTGTTGAATAGAGGCGGGAACCCAACCAACACATTTACATTAATTGGGGCGAATGTTCCGAGACCCAAACAAATTACACCAGCTAAACTAGAATCAGACTTCGGCTCGATTGACTTGATATAATCGTCGTTTAAAATGATTTGGTGGTTAATGATTTTGGGAATTATAACGTGTGGTATTTTCTCTAGACATCATAGTCATATATAGCAGACAATAAAGACATTGAAAAGGAAAAAAGCCCAACCCCCTCCAGGCACAGTTTAAGACTTAGTGAAAGGCCAGTCASCAACAACATTCATAAAGCAAAAGCTGATTGAAAAATTGAATTAAAGAAAACTATTTGATCCTTTTTTGTACATCAAAATTCAAATTCAAAAGTTGTGCATTTGGTGTTAAATATTTGTTAGGTCGCCATATGGAATACAGCACTTAGTAGGAATCAGGCTGCAGAAAGGTCTATAATCGTTAATATACCAGTTGAGTTTGAAGGTTAATGCTAACAAATACTCACCCACATCGAAGTCAAACTATGACCGAATAGTAATATAAACACATGCACTACTGGATAAACGAGATATACAACAATAACATTCACAATATCTATCCAAAACATATAGTTTATCGTATACAATATAAACACCATTTCCCACTGACTGTGTGGAATGAGCTAGTAGAGTGCCATTTAGCCTTTGCTCTTTTTATGGTGTAGTTTTACAGGCTCATTGTGATTCAATGCTACATTTGCTATGTTTAGTAAACATATGAAGCAAAGCTTACCGATCACAGCTTCAGAGTCAGTCTTSTTTAGRCGTTTGAATAATTAATAGAAGAGCTATTGGTACAGAATGACTGTCTTGCGAGAAGAGAGCGCCAAGGCTTCCCTTTTATCACTAAGAATGTAAGAACCTTTAAAAGTCTAATCCGCTTTACAAAGATCTCATCACAACACATGCGAAATAGATAAGACTACTGAGATATTTCAAAAAGGATTGATAACCCTATTTTAAGTACCTTACCAAAGTAMCAACCTCTCTAGTGACCGCTGAAGCACCTAGTAGAGTGAATCCTTATGGATTGCAGTTAATCAATCAGTTGACAAATGAGATGTTAAAAGCAGTGTCACTTAAACGTTCTTGTCTCGTTTCCCTCTCTTAAAATACTGCGAAAACAAGGTTTGGTAACAATGCCAAAATTGACGACCTCGTGGAACCCAGTACTAAGTCTGCCAAAAGTACTWGTCGTWTTGTAGGTATATGTTTTACAAAAGTGAGCCTATCGTTTGTGATTATCGTGACAATATTTCACCCTGGGCCAATATCGGAAAAACAAGGGTTTGTATATTTATGAATTGTATAAACTTGCCTCAAGCTCATTTCGCATTCCTGTTTTGCAGAATGGAAAATATAGTGAAGCAGATCTAAAACTCATTATACCGATTGAATAGTCCGTTGTTTTCAGCAAAGCTTACCGCGAATTTTACCGCTCCTCTCATTACTATGAATACCAAAATCATTCAATAATCCTCCACGCAAACTGATTCGTTAATAATGCTGTCGGCTAATTTAGCAATCTTTTGCTTTCATTAATTAAGTCTGAAGGCTTAATGTCCAAGCTTTATTGATCCGTAAACCGAACACATACTTAGTCATACAAGACAGCAATCAAATCAAGCGTTCACCTGCTATTTACGGTTCAAAGAATGGACACAAAAAGGCTCACGGGAAGCGMAAGGGAGGGTATGGCATGCGGTGCATATTAGCGGTATATGCAGTCCCCTCTAAATGAATTATCGATAGTCTACCCAGCTAACTAAGACGTTATAAAACTGTTTGTCAAGATGGGCGGCTTTAATGAGATGACTGCTTTAACTAATTAGGGTGATCAATCCAAATATCATTCAATGGTTTCAGTAAAACATTCATTTGTACTCACTTATTAGCGAAGGAAATGTAGATTACCGCTAAAAKGACCAAGGACCACCCTGYTTTGAAGGAAGGGTTGGGCTCSTCAATGTATAGTCCAAAATGTAACCATAATAGGAATATTAACTGGGAGAGGAAAATAATTGTTGCTAATTAGTTTGYAACACTTCGAAACTTTTGAAAGCTCGAAAACTGATATGAGGCTAATGCTATGTGTAAATATAAATCGCACTGTTTCACCGCAAAGAACACCGTTTAACATGTAGAAAACCGTGAAATCGTAACTGTGAAAAAAGGTAAAAAGATATCGAAAAGCTCTTCGTCGCAAACGGCACAAATTACAAAATGTAACACATTTGGGGTAACTAAGCAAGCGTACATATCTCCATCGTTTCACTGCTGAAAGCACAAGGCTTCGATCGGACTTTTCGAAAACTATTCCAGTCCTTTTAAATGTAGCCTGAAGGTCTGAATAACCAAAGATCAAAGCGAATGTCAACGAGGAGGAAGGACAGGCTCCCCATGGACAAGATGCTAAGCGAGATAACAGTAGAGTACTACAACTAAGTGGTTTGTACAAGTAAAGTAAACAGTGCATAAGGTTGACTATGATTTGAGAAACAATATATAACGAAAATCAAGTATTACTCGAGTTTCATTTAAAACTAGTCCTAAAYAACATAGCAATGAGTTTTGGAGATTTCAGTTACGCGATGTCATAATGATCGTATATTTCCATTTGACTGATTTCTGATTTAGACGACGTATGCACACACGAAGCAAGGCAAAATCCTAAGACTCTTTTAAGAGTAACTAATAACTAAGGTAATCGTAGTAGGTTGTGAGAAATTCATAAATACGATTCAATTGGTGCAACACCGAGTTGGTTGCGACATTGTTTTTAGTTGTAACAACCGTGAAAATTGTCCTCGTAAAGATTTGTGCACAAAGAAAAAGAAATTGTGATGTAGTACTATACGCTGTAAGACTTTTGCAGCCTAAATGCGACAGATGCAGGATTTATTTCGTGTTGTAGGCGTAACGCATGCAATCTGACAGGTGGCCTTTATAGTAAAAGTACTGCATAAAAACTAGCGTTAAAAGACCCACAAAACATTTGATTGCGTACAAAATCTAAAGAAAAACACTTTTCAGATAAAAAACAGCCGAGATTTTGATGCCAAATGCCAATAWTGCCAACTTTTTTATAAAATGGTAGAAATTATTATACTACTCTTGAAGAAAGCTTCAAGAATGGTCATGAGAAACTGCATGTACATTAACGTTTGAACATCTTGCTAAATATTGTATATCTTTGCAAAAGTCGATTGATTTATAACTTTTCAAGACTACACATGCAGCACACTGGAAAATTGTGTTTAAATTAACGATCCTTACCGAAATGAGTTGGCTAACAGTCAAACCTGTTCACACTCCTGAGGTCTTGGCTTCTCTATTAAACTGACTCCACCTCAAACACTAAACTTATCTGATAGCAATTGTCAGATAGACGGCGCGATATGAAGTCATTTGACGAGTATATAATAGATATTGATTGGCGTGTTTTTGGTGATGTGCGTTGTCGTGATYCAAGCCAATATTTYATMGAGTGATAAAATGGTTACCTAATAACGACACTGTTAAGAACYAGACGATCATAGATCGCTTACGTGGGCTTCCTGTAGCTGCRACAAAGGGTCAGCTGCCGCCATTGAGCTATAAGTATTTCATTTTCACGATAGRGTCTTTGTTTKAAATAGTTCAAGAYAGAATTRAGTYAATATAAGTAACTTACATCTTTATTACATCTTAATTTTTTACCGAACTGAACAAGTACTACTACAGCCTTTGGTTTTGGTTTATAAACAAACCAGTTGGTCACAGTGAAGCTGTAAAACAATCCATGTCAAAAATGAAAACAAAGSRCGGATTGAWTTAGTTTGACAACCCCATGGAAGCTGAGACTGCAGAYCATCTACAACGCAGGCGCTACCAATTTGAGGYATATTCACGACGACGACGACGGAGAAAAGTCCACTGACATTTTTAGACGTGARCTTCCACAGGAAGGCTGCKTAATAATCCTCTAAACTGCTTTATAGACTAAMAGTCTGCTATTTCTTGAGACACTAGACTCTAAAGCAACAATTTCCCATAAAATGTCAATTAATTAAATATCGATTTACGTGAAAGCTTATTTGAACTTCAGTTCAATAAACCMTCGTTTGTCAAATTCACTTTGTTGCTATTTTGATTTTATTG